GACTGTCACCGGAGGAGTGACCCCACCGCTGAGCCCGGACATGTTCATGTCACCCACACTCTCTGGTGAGACTTTCGCTAAATGTAATTGCCGCAGCGACATACATGCGCCCGTCCTCGCGTGCGCCACGCGTCGGTCCCTTACCTTCCTTGGATATACGACGATCCTCTCCTCACCAAAAACAAACAAACAAACAAACGCATGGACTGCCCTTCCGGGCATTTGCAGACCGTCACTGCGGTTCTATGGTAGAAGTGTAGTCTCGGTTTGTGGCGATGTGTTCTAAGGATTTCTGCCAAGGGATCGTATGTGGGCGAATTTTCCAAATTTATGACACACGACCCCTGTGACTCGAGCTCATCGGGGTGTGAGAAGTACGATCCGAGAATCTAGTGAACTCGAGCGAGTGTCTCCATAGATGGGAGCTTGCCATTCGTCACGGCTGTGATGAGTGCAGGGCACGGCATTCAGGACAGATGAAGGGCCTATGTAGACGCTATGAGATCGTTTATAGACCCGGCGTCCATCCCACGTATTTTCTCTGGAGGGTTTTGAGATAAATGAACATCATCTCACGATTATGGCCATGGATGTATATAGTATATATAAAGTCGCGTGCATTGACACTTTAGTGTGGCTTATGCGCATATCCTTGTTTTGGTTTGCCAGGCCAGGAACTTGGCACCAGTTGGCCTCGTTCACAACACGTTGCGTAGCCAGAGCCAGAGCCAGAGCCAGAGCCTGAGGTGAAGTAAAGTAAAACATCCCCTAAAAACGATGAGATGAAGAAAATCATTATCAACCATGAAAGGAACAAAGGTAATACAATACAATACAATACAATACAGTAAAGTAAAGTACAATACACGACTACTTTCTAGAAAAAAAATAAAAATAAAAAATTAGCAAGACGCAACGCAATGCGAAAGAAGCGTGTCAAACTAATACGACTTGAGTCAATCCAATGAATGACGTCGGGCCATTCCCGCCACCGGCGCATTTAATACGCCTTTGGCCCTGGCCAGGCCCGAGTTTAAGTTATTATTATACGAGCGAGAACGAGAGAGGAGATTCAGCTTACAATAAGAGATGAGTTATCGAGGAAGAATGATATTGGGAAGCGAGTTATCTATCTGAATGTGAATGGAATAGATGTTGGTGGCGAGTGGCGAGCGAGCAACAAGTGACTATAACATACAATACAAACGGGAAACTACAAAGCGGAACACGCGCGGAAAAGGAAGCTCATCCACAATCACCCAATACATTTTTTTTTGCCTCCTTTGAAGTGGATCATTAAAAGCGCCTGAGAAGCAAGCTGATGGATCCGGGGGAACTTTCCCAAAGGGGGGACCAGCAGAAGGCATCGATAATGAGAATGAGAATGAGAGAAGATGGTGATAATGATGATGATGATGGGTGCTCGGAGTTTGGGGCGAAGGGGCGAAGGATAACCGAAAGCGGTCAAAAGATGTGTCGGTGCGATATGCACGGGGACGGGGATGGGAACGGGGATGGGGATGGGGACGGGGACGGGGACGGAGAGAGGAAGAAGGGGTGGGCGCTCTGGGGCGGACCGAACCGAAAAATGAGGGGCGCAGACCAACGGTTGTCAAAGGGCCGGAGTAGACGGGTTAGGGGTGGGGAGAATAAGGGTGTAGTGTATGAAGTTCTTCATGAATGAATGAATGATTATGAATATGAATGATGATTATGTGTTATGGTGAGAGGGTGAGAGTGAGGGTGAGGATGTGAGAGCGAAGGATGAGGGGATGATGGATGATGAGGGGATGATGAGGGATGATGAGGAGTGAGTGAGTCAGCAAGTGAGAGTGAGTGAGTCAGTGAGTGAGTGTGAGTGAGATGTCGATGGAGATGATGTGATGTGATGAGAAAAGGCCGAGATGAAAATTTCCCGATTTAAATTCATTTACCCGGATTTAGGCTCAACTTAACTATTACCATGCCCAGCCACCCAGCCACTCTCAGCCACCCAGCCACTTAGCCACTCACCGAGTAGTGTCTGTCTGTCTGTCTTAAGACGTCTTGGTCTTAGTTAGTATTAAATCCCGAACTCCCGAATGTACACGAAATCATTACCTCTCCCTCCTCTCTCTCCTCTCATCTCCTCTCTTCCTAAAAGTTGATTCTATTCCTCTCCTCTCCCCCTCTTCAACAATGACAGCAACAATGTCTCCACCCTTTCAATACGATCTTCCAATGCGCCTACCTCACTCAATAACTACGACATCCCCTCCTAAGCGCCACTTCTCCCATTATCGCCAACCAAAGGTGGCAGATGTTTCTCGTATCCTTGATCCTTCATACATGTCCTCCTCCTCTTCTTCCTCACCAACCTCTGTGTACGCCGACACCGATGGTAATCTCCACGATCCAGACTACCGCCACTTTCCGGTGGTAGCCGCTCTCCCACGCCGTCCCGCTTGGGAGCGTGGTGCTGATGACGACGACGAACTGGATCATGATGATTTCGATGAACGTACCCGCCTTCGTAGTGTCTCTCCTCGCGAGCGACGTCGTGCTCGCTATTCTGCTTATGAGCAGTCTTTACCCCACGCCCGCCGTTCTTTCGAGGAAGTTATCGAGGACCGATCCAGTCAGAGCCGCATCCGTCACAAGTACCGTTCTAGGAGCCACTCTCCGCACCATGAAACCTCTCTAAGAGTGGTTGATGAACCCGACGTCATTCTCCAACCACCTAAGCAAGTGAGATACGTGCCAGTGCGTCAGGAGATACCTGACTGGACGTAAGTACCCCCTTGTCTTATCTTTCTCGATCTCTCCAACCTTATGCGCGATCCCTTTCAGTCCCACCTGTGGTCAGCAATTCCGCCGCCAGTGGCAGGCATTCACTCTCAGCCTTCGTTTCTCCATCTTTCGCGCACAGAGACGGATCAAACGCAAATTTGGCGCTTGACGCTCACACCTATCCAACAATTATCACCTCGACAGGGTCTACTATGACATCGTCTTCTCTGGTTTTCGACCGCGGCTCACTGCCGTGTATCATGGTTGGGCACAACGATTGCACTATAGCATAAGTGCCTGCCGGCATATTGGCATCACCACACCTATTTGTGAAAAGATGCCCGGTCCTGTTTGACCAGTCTTTCCTCTTCTTCCCGCCGCATTGCTTTTTTTATACACCTACCAGCTCCGACCCACTTTCCGTTGACTCCAAGATATGATTCCTCTTTCTTCCCATCTTTATCTCTCAACGGTGTATGTGCTTAGATCTATTTTGCGCGTCGATTGAACCCCCTCCACCCACATCACGACATCACGTTTCTCTCCATGATAGGCATTTATTCACGATATTCACGATATTGTTAAAAGAAGTCGTCTTACACAAATCTTCTTTTTGCGGGGACATGATCAGGGTCCTGTTTCGCTGAGCCAATGAACTAAAAGAGACTATTCGATTTGTTACGAGTTCACGTTGAGATCAATGTCAGTGGTTACTTGTCTACGACATGCCATGTTTAGCGATGGATGACCTGAGGTTGTACCACCGCCGTGAAACGATTGGCCGCTGCACGGTTCGAAATAATCGTGTCTCTCCTGAAAATTGGTTATTGGTTTCGTTGTTGTGAGTAAAATAGGGACAAGTGAGTGGTACGCTGTACCTCCACAGATAGGCTACTGCCGGCAGTGAGTGAGACTTGGCAGGAAGGCATAAAAGGGGGGCATACGTGGCCCGTGCCGTCCTCTGCTGATGAGCCAGTCAGCGCTGTGTGGTCAGGGCGCAGGCCAACCCCCCGATTCTTTTATCGAGGCGGTGTGCCGCGTGTCGCAGGGCGTGCTGCAGGGGGAAGGCCGACAAAACCGGAGGAGGGATCGGATTCGGATTCAGTCAGAAAAAGAAAAAACAGAAAAAGCTGCGATTCCGCTAGTCTCGGCATCGTGGCAGGGCTTGCTGCGAGTTGCTCGCCGCCCGTAAAGTTAACCCCTGGTGACCCCCATCAGCTGTCCCAGGTTGCAGGCATGTACACGAAATCCCCCCAACCAGTTTGCTGCGTGGCGCGCTGCTGCGTACTAACTGCGCGTTTAGAGGTCGGGTTGGTTGCATGTGGTATGTGGCATGTGGCATGGCACTTTTGGAGCATGAGCACCTGCCGGTGCCCAGTGGTTCCACCGAAATCCCCCCAAAAAAAACTACAATAAGATGATTATCAGAGCTAGCTCGCTTTGTATGTATAGGACAATGTCTGAAATAGGTAGGAGGACCCTCTCGGGGTAAATTGCGGGGTCGATTGCGAACAACCCCCCCTTCTCTCCCCCCGATAACTGAACATTGTGTATTGTGATATTGTGGCAATCTCAGTATAACCCCACCAATCCCGGGGGAGACCGCGATGCGCATTTTCTGCCATTTATCATGTGAATCTGCTAATTTGCTTTCGCTTAAAGAGGGGTTACTATTATAACGGAGTTGGATTGAATGCGGAGATCTCTATTCAACAACTCGTTTATTGAGGGGGTGCACATCTCTGTAGGTAGCCCATAATCAGTTATCAAGGATCAGAGTTTTCAGTTTCTTCCTTCAGTCATCAAGTAAGACGGACAGGGGAAAATCGCGACAGTCGCACAGCCTTCACTGATTAAAAATCAAAGGTTTATTTTTAAGAGAGTCTATTTGTGACTCATGAATCCCCTGAACCCACCGATATAATTCTAAAATTCTCATCCAGAAGTTGCGGTACCGTGATGGTGCGGAGATGGATGAGCTCCGGAGCTTTGTCCTCGGAACTTGACAACTGCCCAGATAACGGGTTTGCCCGTCGGACAGACAAGAAAAGGAAGAAAAGAAAAGGTAAGTGGGTGAGGATAATGCGTTCGTGACAAATCACAACACAACCTCTCTCTCTCTCTCTCTCTCTCTTCTGTCCTTCTGTCTTTTGTCTCTGTGGCCATGTGCGAATGAGTCTCTCGAGAACTAGAATATGACCGCAAAAACAACAAAAAATGTTGTTTAATTACTGCCCCAGTGAGGCTCGAACTCACGACCTTCCGATACCGCTGCCCTTAAAGAAAGGATAACAGTCGGACGCTGTAACCAACTCAGCCATGGGGCACACAGTTGAATAACATATTCAAAATATACAAAATATTATAATTGCACTAACGCTTCCCTTTCATCCATCATCTATCAGTTCATCTATCACTTGCGCACTTGCACTTGCAAATGGCTTCGAGTTGCAAAAAAACTGACCGGTTCTGGTTTGACGATGGCTCCGTTATTATCAGTTTAGCACCGTTCATGTATAAAGTGCACCAGTCAATTCTCGATAAGCACTCAACCAAGTTCACAGCATGGCTACTTGATCCTCTGGACCCCGCAACTCTCGCGTTATCGAGGACTATCGAGGACGCACAAATCCCGGTTGTGGCCATTCCGGATGACCTGGGTATCACAATCGAGGACTTTGAGGCCTTGTTAGCGCACTTGTACCATCACTCGTAAGCTCGTTCGTACATGATATCATCCGTGGGTGAACCTGAACCTGACACTGTCCCCACAGTCCACTAAGGCCCGAGAGCTCGTTCCATCAGCTCGCCTCTATCTTGCGAGCATCGTCCCCTCAATTACTTGCTTTTCCTTCAATATTCGAGCTAGCAAATCGTGATCTTGCCGCTCATTTCCCCGGCGGGTCTACCCCTTTCACGCATCTACATCGCACTAAGCATCTAGAGGAAGCGCTTGAACTTGCTTTGCAGTACGACATTAATTTAGAGGTACCGCTATTGTGCAGCAGCTGGAAGACAGGCTTCATTAACACCCCCCCCCTCCCCTTCCCCGGCAGACCAAGAAAGCGTTGGTTTATAGTGTGGCCACATCAACTAATTTCGATCCAAAGGGGGAATATGATACCTCTGATTCCCATATTTACGATGCATCGGACATAGGCGCACCACACCCCGCGCTTTCCCCGCGCACAATTCGCATCTGCCATCGCTTGCTCGCCCTCCTCATTGCAGATTTTACACCCGTTCTATTCACTGTCGGTGCCGCATCGCATATGGCATGCACGGACATTATCGCAGACCGTTGGATGACTGACGTGATCACCCCTGCACTCGCTGATGGTGGAGTAGGGCGCCCACTTGAAACCCTTGCTCGGATCGCGTCTAGGTCCTGGCAAGAAGAGGGCGTGTGTGTTGAATGCGTTGAGAGTAAGAAGCTAGAGTGGGACAAAGGAGCGAAGGACATTTGGGAGAAGGTCGGTTGTTGGGTACAAGAGGCAGAGAAGGAGTTTCGCAGGAGGTAATCGAAGGTGTTTTCCTGTGCAGCTATCTGCCAAAGACGTACGAACCCGTGAATTCTAGAGCCAGTGTCTTACTTACAGCAGGCTCTGACATATTCTCGCTTTATACAATTCCATCCTTCCGAAACTGTGAGATGAGCTCTTCGTCATATCCCAGCTCTCTAAGTACCTGCTCACAGTCAATTCGATACAGTTGAGGAGATTGTGATGCGAGGGCGCACCTCATCAGTATGTTCAGAAAGCCATGGTGGGGGTTTGATCACTGGCATCTTCTTCCCGTTATATGTGACAGCAGGGCCTACTAACTTGATCTTTCCAGCACGCGGGTGCTAAGAAAAACTTAGAGTGTGTGTTTGCAAGGTAGGCTGAATCCTTACTTCGACTTCTACAACCACCCCACGCGCAACGGCTTGAGGGTGCTCAAACGTCTGCTGGATGTTATTGATGGGCCCGAATGGAACACTTGAACCACTCAGTTCAAGTCAGACAACATCCTGGATCAATGCTTACCCGAGTCCATCGAATAATTCAAGCCAATGGTCCAGAGGTTCTTGCATGAGCGTTTCCGTAATAATTTTCACCAGGACCTCACGGTTAGCTACTCTTGCACCATTTGTGCTGAATTTTGGGTCATAACCCAGCTCAGGCCGACGAAGTATTTTTTCCGCAAGAAGTCTGAACTGGAAAAAAACATTTGCATTGAGTGCAATTTGGAAAGCAAAGGGACCGCACCTGTTTATCGTTGCCAGCACCGATCAAAATATACCCATCTTTGCACGGGAACACTTGGTAAGGAACGATTGAGGGATGGGATGTGCCGTGTCTTTGAGCTTCCTTTCCAGCGATGAGATAGTTGGATGCAATGTTCGCAAGGCCAGCGATCTAAAACCCATCAGATCCGGCGTGTGGAGAACACCTTAGCCAAGGATTACGCACTTGCGACTCGAATAAATTACAGTCGATCCAGACACCCTTCCCAGTCTTTTGCCGGGAGATGAGAGCGCCATGACGGCACCGTGGGCATACAAGCCAGTTGAGATGTCAGTCACAGCGACGCCGACTTTGGATGGCGGACGGTCAGGTTCTCCGGTTCTGAGAACTTTGGAATCAGGACACGCGTCATTCAGGTCGTCAAAATGCCTCTGATATTTTACTTACATGTGCATAAGCCCCGCCTCGCCCTCGATTACGACATCATAACCCGACGCTTTTCGATACGGACCTGTTTGTCCATAGCCTGAAGAACACCGATCTTAACGGAAAAGACGCACGGGCGCGCAGGGAGCAGACTACTCACCGGTGATGGACGCATAAATTAATCTATCGTTGATAGCGCTACATTGCGCATAGCCGAGTCCCATGGAATCCAATTTTCCGGGTATGAAGTTCTCCACCAATACGTCGGTTTGAGCGACGAGCTTATGCAATATTTCCAGGCCCTCGGGTCTTTTGAAGTTAACAGTAATGGAGCGCTTGTTTCGGTTAGCTGCGAGAAAATAAGCAGACTCGGGAGGAAGATGGGAAGAGGTTTTTGGCGCATCTTCAGAAAGGGGCGCAGCGGGAGGGTTCCAGGACCCTATCCATGTCAATGAGTGCACTGAGACGAAGGACAAGGCAAATGATGATGCTCAACGGGTATCGTCACCATGATTTATTTGCTCGACCTTTATCACGTCTGCCCCAAGGTCTGCGAGGAGCATCGTTGCCATTGGGCCTGCAAGAACGCGAGTCAAATCAAGGATTCGAATTCCCTTCAGTGGGGGCTCAATTCCTCTGCCATAAGAAGATTTGAACCTGATAGACGAGAAAGCTTTGGGGTGTACTTGTAACCGTAGTAGCAGTAATCGTGACCATAACGGTCTGTGGCAAAGTGCCATTATCTCCTTCAAACCGGGGTCCGAGCCTTAAGTTAAGGCTTCATCCTCATCGCCCACGTACACTCTCCTCTTGTTGTACTTATATGTACCTGCACGACCATCAACTCACGATCTGAGACGCATTTACGACCATTAAGCTGTCATGACCACTACAGACCACTCTTTGATAGAATTGACCGATCTTTTACTATCCACACCTTACCGCCTCGCCTACGCGATCCCCCTTCTCGTCCTATCTACTCTCCTTGCATTTGCCGGTTCTTTCCTTACTCTTGACCGCACGCGATCTTTTCAGCCTCGCAGCAGTGCTTTGCAGGTTCCCGGGTCATTCAACCTTACCAAGAGACCAAAGCGGCTCCACCTTTACCTACAGGGTGGCCTTGGTGGGGTAGCCATCGGGTATTCATTCGGACGTGCGTTTCGTCTCGTTCTGCATTGTATCCTGCTTAAAAAATCGCTGAGGACTGCATAGTTCATTTATCGACGTTTCTCGCGTTGATTGCTCCCAATGAAACGACTTCCACCCCCTTGAGTTCAAAGTCTTTCTTGGCAGTCTGGGTCCTAACCTCCGTTCCATTCTCCATCTTCTCCGGTCTTTTCAGACTCGCCGCATTTGCATTCGTGGGTATTACCGGCGGGTAAATTCATCCAACTTCTCGACATGAGAATGTATCTCATTGATATCCTTCTAGAACTTCACTAGCGCTTGCCCTGTCCATCTCAATTCACCCCAATCTTTTGACACGGCGCATTTTCTTGCATTGCTGGCCCCCATTTGTTGCATTTTGACAGTGCTCCCATCTGCGCGTACTCAACGCAACTCCATTCGCCTCACCGCATGTGCCACGGGGGCGTTCGGCTTGACCATATCCATTTCCCTGCTTGCACACATCCAACCCTGGTCAAACGTCTGGGAGCGCCTTTTTATAGCGGATGGGAATGGTTGGGGTATTGGGATTGAACGAGTCCTCAGTGCTGGCTATTGGTTCATCCTCATAGCTGGTTGCTCTGCAGATTGGGCGTTGAAGAAATTTTGTGGGGGGAATCCCGACGAGGCAAGTTTTTCGCTTGTACCATTACGCTTGTCTTTGACCGCATCGATTTAGGAATGGGACATGTACCTCGTTGAGTATGCCTCTTCACTTCCCACTTCCCGTGACCGGGCGGGGGTCTTCCAGCCGCTTTCATACAGTTTCTGGGAACGACTTTTCCCCCGGACGCAACAGTCCAAGCCATCTGTCGTATCTGACTACTTCCCCCCCCCTGGCGATAAGCATTCTTCCTCTTCGCCATTGTCCTTCGATCATCGTCGTCCAGGCGTCCTTTCAAAGAGGCCAGCTATGCAACAAGCCTTTACCTTTACTGATTCACCTCGTCCCAAGCAAAGTCACCGTCCTCTTTCTCGCCTGCTCGGTTTGAAAAAAGCGGAGAGCCATGGGTACCGCAAACGCGAGGCAGTCAAGTTTGACGCGATAGACCCTGAGGATCTCAGCTCGGACGACGAGGATGACCCGTTGTCTACCCCACCGCCATTGGCGCGTCGTACCTCGACACGTTCCAGTGTGACACTTACGAATGGATCTACTACGGGCTCTCAGCGCCTCTCTCCTGCGAAAGATTCAAAAAAGGCGACCGCGGCGAAGTATGCTGGTTTGGAAGGCAACGACGGCGGTGCAACAGAGTATTCTGACTACGAGGACGTGACCAAAGCACAGCCACACACAGCCGAACAACGCGACTCACCGGGTTGGAAGCCACCGTTTCTCGCGCGGCACGGCTCAAACATTGCAGCCCTGTGGCTCCTGTTGGCGCAGTACCAATGACGCCATCGCTCATCCGTGCAGTGGACCGCATCGCAGCTGCTCAGTCCCAGGCGTATGGCTCTCCTGCCCCCACGGACTCCTCAGTGATGACCCCTGATTTACACGCGAG